ATGAATAGTTCTTCTATGAGAGACATCTCATCCAGTGGTACCTTAGCTACCTTCCCTCCAGGTACTGTTCTTTGGCAGATGTCACATGACCTGCAGAATCTGGTCACATCTCCGATGACCCCCAGCCAATTTTGTAACAAGCATAGTATATCATTCTTTCTGTTGAGGTTTCTGCTTGTGCTTGTTGGTAACAGATTCACATTCACTCGCATTGTGCCCCATTTTATAACAAGCATAGCATTTCTTCTCTCTTTTCTCTGTTAGGTTTTTGTCACCTTTGGTGGAATCCTACTTCTGGTCAGCCACCCCTTGTTTCAACTTTGACTGGTTATACTTGGACTTGCCAGTTTTACTCCCTCTATGGACTTCCATACACTGTTTAGCCAGCTTGATAATCTCACCCACGTCTTTTGGTGGTCTCTCTTTTAGAAACAATGACATGTCAATGGAGCATATGATCATGAACTGTTTATGTACTAGTAAGTCTGCCAGTTCTTCAAAACTATCTTCACATTTTGCTATGTTATTCCACCTTGTGAAGTATTACGTTAGACGTGTCACAGACAGAACTAAAGTTTCTTCAGTGTCAGGTTGGACTTGTTTGAGCTTCTGGTGAAACCTTCTATGGTAAGTTCATATAATCTATGCCAGGCCACTTTTAAGTTCTCCTAGTTCATGGCATCTTCTGATGTCATGCCCAAATACACTTGTAGGCCTTTTCCTGTGAGAAGGGGGCTGAGACAAACTGCCCAGTCACCTTTGTCCCGGTTCTCACTTTGGGTGAATCTTTCATATATCCCCAGGAAAGCATCCATGTCGTCTTTCAGTTCACCCAATTTGGGAAACTTGGGTCAGTTGGCTTTGACTTCATTGTCATTCTTGAGTCATCCATCTTTCTGTGGGATGAACTTGGCAAACTCAATTTGTGCTCTTATACCCTCTATTTCTAGTCCCTCCAATTTCTCCCCTTTTTCTTTCTCAATTTTTGTTCTTATTTTATGTAATTCCACTCTCTCCTCTCTCTTCTTTTCTTCTGTCTCAATTTGTGCTTTTATTCTCTCTTTTCCCAGTCTGTTCTTTTCTGCTTTTTTGGACGCGTATTTACACCACAACAGAGGTCTAGAATGTTCCACATACTACTAGCTATTATGATGCAATAATATTCAATTAAAACAACAAGAAAAACCCAGAAGGTTCTAGTAACATTGTGCAATAATATAACAATTACCAATTAATAACAAATGAACTACAAAACATATTATTTGTAAACAGTTAATACACAAACCTGCGATAAACTATTACTTCTAACATAACTAAATTCAAAACTCACGCTATCTAAGTCTTAGCACTCGCATTAAATTAAAGTGATATATCTAACAAAGTAATCTGTTCATATATATACCATTAGTCTCGAAAATTTTCTTCATACGTTGTTTGTGAACTCAGATCTATGAGTGAGTGTAGCCTGTGCAGTAACAAATGCCATTTATGAAATAACTTTATTCATTATCATTACGTGGACTTGACATATGATTACTTTTACCAAATACTCCAAAATTATCCACTCAATGATAGAACATGCTACAGCAGAAACATAATTTGTAAACTGGTTGATGACATTAAACTCTTGGTTAATTATAAATATTTTGAGGTACTACAGAATGGCTTGGATTAATTAATAAGTTGGACACATATTTGGCAAATGAACTTTAATTGGATCTTGTTTGTTTGTGTTTAGGCCCAAAGTTACACATAGCTTGAATGGTGGGCAGGTGCCAAAGGATTGGAAGTTGGCTAATGTTACTCCTTTTTTCAATGGAGGTGATAAAAATTGTCCCAGTAATTATAGACCCATTAGTCTTACATCAGCTGTAGGAAAAGTTTTGGAAAGTCTGTTAAAAGATGCTTTGCAAAGTCATTTAACAAAGTTTGGAATTTAGTTTTATTGGATAGTCAACATGGTTTCACTAAGGGAAAATTTTGCCTTACAAATCTATTGACATTCTTTAAAGAGGTTACTGCTTATTTAGAGAGGGTAAGGGTATAGATTTGATGTAACTGGATTTTCAGAAAGCATTGGACAAGATGCCACATTAAAGGCTTGTAAAAATTATCTGTACAGGTGTGGATAATAACTTAGCCAATTGGATATAAGAGTGGGTGGATGGAAGAAAGAGGAGGGTAGTTATAAATGGAGTTCAGTCAAACTGGATTAAAGTCAGTCATACGTAACACGTGGCCAGTTGATGTAGTCTTTTGGTTTGACTTCACACAAGTTACAAATATATTTATATAAATCCAAGTTATGCAGTCGTGGATTAAGCATACAAACCACCAACTCGAGGAAGTTTACGTTTGGAATAAAGAATTCGCTCACAGAGGAATAATGAAAACAACAAGCACACTATAATCAAATATGGTCAAATATTCCTCAATATCTAAAAATTCAAAATTTTCATGAAACATCTCAAAATCAAATAATCAAATTCATTGATTAAACCATCCATAAGATTAATTAACACCGAACAAGTTAACACTGAACAAGTTATCAATTAGGTTAATACAAGAAATGCATTCGGACAGAATTATGTTTAGCTAACTCATTTAACACTTCTTCAAGAATTTCATTCAACAACTCTATTACTTCTTCAATTAGTTTCGATAACACTACAGGTGAATTATTTTCTAATACTTTGTTTATTTTTTTAATTTCGCGCAAAGCTACACAAGGGCTATCTGCGCTATCTGTCCCTAATTTAGCAGTGAAAGACCAGAGAGAAAGCAGGTAGACATCACCACCAACTGCCAACTATTGGGCTACTCTTTTATCAACGAATAGTGGGATTAAACGTCACATTATAACTCCCCAAGGCTGAAATGCGAGCATATTTAGTGAGACGGAGATTCGAACCCGCAAATTGCGAATCGAGCGCCCTAACCATCTAGTCACGTCACGCCCGTTTCTAATACAACCTGATTTTCAGACATTATACATAATTTTAGTAAGGCGTTGTTAGAGTAGAGATGGGTAGCAATGATAACTTACAGAGAGTTTGTGCAACGAAGTCGCTGTAATACGGTCATCTTCTGGGTCTCATAGCAGTTCTGGAAAATCAGGATACTGTTGGCTAGCAAGTCCTGCAGCAGTCAATTTCAGTGGAGGAGCTTCTCTTCCAAGTGAAAACATAACGTTTTAAATATGACTCTCTTAAGGTAGCCAAATGCCTCGTCATCTAATTAGTGACGCGCATGAATAGATTAACGAGATTCCCACTGTCCCTATCTACTATCTAGCGAAACCACAGCCAAGGGAACGGGCTTGGAGAAATCAGCGTTAAATACGTTAAATTAAGTAAGTAAGTTAGTGAATGTAAAGTGAAGTTATACTGCATTCTTGTGAGTTTAACCATAAACAGCATATAGTGGCGATTTCTAAAATGAAAGTATCACAGTTTGTATTGTAATAACAGAGATATAGAAGAACAATTTGTCTTGTTAAAGGGAGTTCTAAAGTAATTGAACCCACCCGTGTGAACTTTGATGAAAAGGAGACACTTATTTAAAACTCTGGATATAACTGTGATAACCAATGGTGTAACGAATTTTTGTACATATTGTTACGACAGTGGAAGTCACGTCACTAAGTAAGTAAGTTAATGAATGTAAAAGTGAAGTTATACTGCATGATTGTGAGTTTAACCATAAACAGCAGTAACTATGACTCTCTTAGGGTAGCCAAATGCCTCGTCACCAAATTAGTGACGCGCATGAATGGATTAACGAGATTCTTACTGTCCCTGGTAGTTAAAGGGGGATCTGGTTGATAGTGTTGATGCATAATCTTTTTGCTTATTGGTGAAAATAGTAGGACTAGGGGACACAAGGCTACTAGAACGGTGCCTGGTATGGAGGGCTTGTCATTCGAGGAGATTTTAAGATATCTGAAATTGTTTTCTCTTTAAAAAAAGAAGTGTTAGAGGGGGATCTGGTTGATAGTGTTCAGTCTTGTGATAACCAGCTTTCTCAAGTAAACAAACACAAGGAAGTTACAAAACGATAAGGTGAAACAGAAAGAACACAAGTTTACGATAGGTAAAACAAATTATTATTTTTTCCGTTAAAAACGTAAGAAGACCGTATTAAATATATGTTGCCATCCAAGCAGTGTGCTGTTGCTATTGGTAGGGAAAATAAAATTGTAGGTTATTTTTACAGACATATTGAATACAAGTTTGAAGATGTTATAATTTCGTTCTATAGATCATTGATTAGGCTACATTTGTGTTCAATATTGGTCTCCTTACCTTAAGGAAACTTAATTGTTGGAAAAGGTTCAGAGAAGGGCTACTAGAACGGTGCCTGGTATGGAGGGGTTGTCATTCGAAGAGGTTTTAAGATCTCTGAAATTGTTTTCTCTTTAAAAAAAGAAGAGTTAGAGGGGGATCTGGTTGATGGTGTTGATACATAATCTTTTTTCATAGTTAATGGTGAAAATGGTAGGACTAGGGGACACAAGTATAAATTTTGACAAGGTAGGAGTCATCTTTAGTTTAGACAGTTTTGTTTTTCTAACAGCGTGGTTAGCCTTTGGAACGATTGCCTTCAGATGTTGTAGAGGCAGTAAATTTAAGTGAGAAAGCTTGATAACTATATGAATGATAAGAGCTGGCATTGAGGTGTTTTTAGATTTTTATTTAATAGTTTTAGTTTAGTTTATAGGATGGGACAGCCTAGATGGACCAATAGGTTGCTTGTTGTCCTTAAATGTTAAGTTATGTTATGTTTAAACCAATGAAGGGCTTAGCTGCAAGTCCAAGGGCTAATAACGCAAAAAAATCGGGTTTCGATATTCGCGGTTGGCGCAGCCACAGATAGCTTATGTAGCTTTGTGCTTAACAACATACAACTAAAGTGTCAGTGTTTCTGCCCGATGTAAATGTGATGAAGATTTGAAGTTTTTTTTTTTTTCTCTAGCAGCGAGGTGGTGCTGTTACTGTTTGGTCGTTTATTGTTGTCAGTGCTATGGTGATAACCAGCTTTATCAAGTAAACAAACACAAGGAAGTTACAAAACGATAACGTGAAACTGAAAGAACACAAGTTTACGATAGGTAAAACAATTTTTTTTCCGTTAAAAACGTAAGAAGACCGTATTAAATATCTGTATATTTTTTGGTCACCTGTTCTTTGGATCTACGATTTTACAAGTTAGTTAGTTAGTTACAACTGACAAATAATATTTGAAGTACAGACTAGTGTAATTAACAACAATGAACAAAATAGTACAATAGGATTAACTTAGAAACTAGAATTGAAGAACTACAACCAATGGTAGTGGCATAGTCACTGTATCACGCTCTGCTTGCCTAGGATAACAATAACACCGATTTAAACTAAAGATTCCCTTTCTTTGAGCGATCGTTAGGCCTAATTCCATGATTGTTAGAGCTCATAATGTTAACATTGTTAATTAGTAATAGCATAAATTAATTATTTAATAAACAGAAAAAAATTCCATTGGCATTGGCTCATGAAGGTCTACTTTCATCCACAAAAACAAGCAAATAATATTTAAATCTTATACATTCACAACTGTAAATCTATCACATGTAACAGAAGTTTAAAATAATTTAAATTAGGTTAGTACTAGTAGCACACGCCACAATATAACTATTAGGAAACTAATCTGATGATTATACCATATCTAAGATTTAAAGAATAGATTTGAATTTACTATTCTACAATTTTACTGACTACCAAATATAGGAAAATATACAGCATACCCTCTCACCATGTTCTTAATTTATATGTATAATAATAATAGTTTTTATATTTTCAGAAAATGAGATATTTGAATGGAATATACTATGAAACTTGAATTAGTTTTAAATTGTCAACAATAACTGTATTACCTCTAAGTTCACAATTTCCATACCCCAAGGAATACAGAACAATTTTATATTTCTGGATGTTAAAACTCATTTTGTATGCTCTAGTATATGCAGTACTAAGTTATTTTGAATAAGATTAATGTTCTTAATAAAATCAGCTGTTGCAAGTGTCTTTATCTGGTATCATCAGCAAATTTTGAAATATTCTTTATCAAGAAGTTATTCATACCATAAATGATAGAGTATTAAGGTTAAAAAAATCTATACTCCTGAAGCAACAAGTCACTTTCTTTCACTTGAAAAAATGCCCATTTATCGTCATCTTCACTTTCTGTTACTAAGCTGCATTTCTGTATATTACTCTACTTTTCTACCAATTCATAAGAATTAAACTTTATCAAATAAATCACATGAACATTCATTAATTCAATTTTACTTATTTATATAGTCAGCTTTCTACTTTGTTACTGAAGTCTTTTTTTTTAGGCAACTTAGCAAATGTGTATATATGTTTTTAATAAAACATAAGCCTATATAATGAGCCTTAGACAGACTTGTAAGTTAACCTTTGGTGAGGCAAAAAAAAAGTTCTATAACTATGTTCAGATTATTTATTAAGTTTCTACTTTCCAAATTGTTTTGTAATTAAATTACCTATGGTAATGCATTCTAATACCTTGCTGTTAACAGAAGAAAACTAAAAGGTCTTCCTGGACACTTTTTTTTTATAAGCAATCTTTGATTCAATGGTAGAAAATATGAATATTTTACCTGATCTTGAATTGTTATCCTTCCTTGCATCATTTAGTTTTGCACTATGTTGATTTGTCTTTGTTTTTTTTCCATTTGAGGGCAAGTTGTTGGATACATTCATGAATTTGCTGCTCCTTTATGCAGATTTACTTCTCTATGGGCACTTGACAGCACCTCTTCTGCTAAAGTTTCTCTGACCTCTCTTACATCTAACTTTATAAGCAACTGGTGTGCCATTGTGATTGCAGCTACACTTGTAACACCTCGGACGTTTTACAACTTTGCATTTGCAAGTTATCTTTGAATCTGACCTTGTTTCTTCGATAAAACAAATATTCAGAGATTCTGGCTTGTTATCTCAGCAGTTACTCATAGTTTTCACAAAAAGTTTGGGAATAGTGAGTGGTCCATAGATAAGGTACTACAACAGTGCCATAACCATGTCTGAATTAGAGTGAAAATCACCTAACTTTACTGACAAAAACTAATCATAACTTCTTTGGATGTTATCTAATTATAAATTGGCATACACCACTGGATTTTTCATAAAATAATGTATATTCCTATGGGTCATTAGAAAAAAAAAGACTACATGCCAGATATTATTCCTGCAAAGTGTTTTACCATTTCTGCTGCCACTGAGTCAGAGATTGCTTTTCATTTAGGGATCACATAAATTACATGTTATAACCTGTATAGTGTAAGGACAGATTCTTTACATCTTCCCAGTTAAGTATTTATACAATGTAGATCAGCATACAGGAATACTTTACATCTCACTCTGAAATGAACAAATGAACAACAAACACATGATACACTGTACAGGATTAACTTCAGTGTTTGTCATCATCATATGATTGACTGTTATGACATCACAGTTTGATTTGTACTGGTGGGTTTTGAAAAGAAAATTGCTCATAAGGTAAGTTGTTACTAACATACCTCCAATGTATGTATGATAGTAATATTGAGTAATATGTATCGATGATTATTTGCCAAAAAATGCTCACTTCAAAATTAACATGTAATACTAAATTGGTTCCTCACAATTGGCAATCTTCTGATCATTAGGAATTTCTCTAGTGTCAAGAGACATTTGTAAAGAAACAATTGAATTATTCATACTCTCCTTGTCAAGTACCTTGAAGGTTTCAGAACAATTTTTGTCAAGACCAGAAGTTTAATCATTTCAGCCATGTTTCTTACATATTGGTTCCATTTATTATCTAAGAGAAAAGCTATTATAGATTCACTTACTTAACCCAATTTACACCAGTGGTTTGTTAATTTAAATAGCATTTCATTACTATCTCTGTTATATCCCAGCTGGTCTGAAAAGCCCTGGAATTGGGTACAAAGGCCTTGTCAGCACTGTATATAGCAGATATAGTGTGGTTGATATATTATTATACACTTTCCTTTACTCTCACTCTTATTACTGATCCTTGACCCTCTCTTTGGATATTTTAAATTTCATGTTTTGAGAAGATACAAATTGGCATATTGTGTTCAGATCTTACATTAACACTTTCTCTATTAGTAATATTTCAATTATCTGTAATTACCCCAGTATCATATCAAAAGGTTTGAAAAATAACAGCTAAGTTCCCCCCCCCCCCCTACATACTAATTGTTTGCAAAGCTTTTTCAATGTTTGAGGATAAATTTGTGAGGACAAAGAAATTTATCCTTAAGAAGATCCTCAAGGTCTTTTAAAACAGCTTCTTCATTAAAGAATTAGGGAATAAATTGTATAGCCATAGAATCTCTTTGTATTCCTCATCACTAAAATGTAATAAAGGTAGTAAAAACCATACTATTAGTAGTGGATTTCTGCACAAAGCTATTCCTTGTATGATTGCTTTGAGATTTTGCATATGCCATTAGTCTTAAGCTTTCTTTTCTTAAGACTCTGTTGTTGGGTACTTCTGGGACATGATGCTCTTTTCACTGCTGTTTGTCTTCTACATTCTAACCTCTGTGACCTCCCTCTGATTTTTTTATCTTCACCCTGAAGTCCTCCCTTTCCTCACTGGTTTCTTGTCTCTCCACACCTTATGAATCCACACCACTCCTCAACCCTGTCAACCTTCCATTATCTCTCTCTCTTTTCCCATTTCTTGTCCCTCTACTTCTTCTTGCCATCCTCCCTCCTATAAAGTTGTCCTTCATACATCATGTTAGTGATTACCTCCTGTTATACATAGTTAGCTCAGGCCCTAAGGGGGCACATAAATTTCTGTTTTCAGATCTCAGGACCCCAGTTACAGCCAATCAGTGAATCATTCAAGTTCTAACATATGGCTTTTCACATCTAGTCTTTTCTTTCTATGTTTACTTTTCCCATTCCTTTTCCTTCAGATCCTCAGAATTTTCTTCATCTTAAGGCAGTGGTATCAGGTCTTTTGGACAAGCTAGGCATTAAGAGGGTCCTTTGCCTCTTCCTGATTTTTTGTTCCCCAAAGATCAGAGACTGGTGTCCCATTATCATTTTTCTTCTCTCAACCACTATCCAGTGGTTCCTCAGTTCAAGATGGGGTTTCTTTCCATTGCTTCTTTTTATCTAGAATATGGATGACTAAGGTCAACATCTTGAATGCCTTTCTACATATTTTTATTGCCCCATCCATTGCTTCTGCATATTGAACTTTCTGTTTTGGGCCCATTTAAATAGGGTTCTTCTAATTGCTGTAATTTTCCAGGGGCTTTGAACTTGGTGCTAGATTATCTTTCTTGACCAGACAAGATGTTTCCTACAGAGTGGTCACTCCACCCTCAGGTCCATTGTTGGATCTGTTGCCAGTTGGACACAACAGTGATCAATACCTTCACCACTCCTCTCAGTACCAAGCATCCCCTCTTCTAGGTCTTGATACTTCACCCAACCTGCACTGGCTGTGGTTGCCCTCAGCAAAGACTGGTCTGATCTTTCTCTGTATATGTACCCTTCTCTTCAACTTCTCACAGATAGTTTTGTGCAGGTTCTTTTAGTCTGCTCAGTCTTAGGTTTGGTTTTTGACTGACTGGTGTCCATAGCACCTCTGCCTCAGTCCCATTCACTCCCTGGAGTGTTGTCACTTAGTCTTCACTTGTGGGACCTGTGTAGTCCCATACTCACAAGTCCATACCTGTCAATACTGAGAGGTGCCAAATCAGGAGACTTTTTGTGGAGGCACTGTAACAGTAAGTAGCATCCACTGGGGGGAGGCATGCTCCACCAGAAAATTTAGAGAAAAAAAAAGGTACACTTTTATGTATTCTGGGGAACTTCAGACATTTATTTACATTTATAAGATTGAAATGATGTTTTGAATTAAAGTGGGCTTATATACTAAGAGAATCACAGTCATCTGCTAATACAGTTATACACTTTTATTGTAAGAATTGAAAAATAAAAAATACACATATCCTGATTAGTGTTCTTTGTTATATTTGTATGTTGCACTTTTGGTATCTTTCAATACCTG